AATTACTCAAAATTGATACTTATATAGTGCTACATCCCTGACCCATCTCTTAAAATAAAGATTATCTACTAATTATAGCTGTAATATACATTATGGTTTAACATACAGAGGCTGCATCCAGCTCGGCCTCTGGTCTCAACAGCAGCACACTCTGATCAATGGCCCGCACGGAGCACAAGGAGCCAGGGCTGGCTTTCAGGTTAAGAGATGTCCTCTCTCCAGGCAGTGCAGTGGGAGACGAGAACTTTAAGGACATCTGTAAAAGCACAGGCACACTCTCATCACACATTATTAATGATAACACACACACACACACACATAAAAGCTTAAAAGGCACATTGAGTTCTAAAATAAGATTTCAAGTGGGATTTTCTGACCTTGTTTGGTAAACATTCTTCAATGGGGAAATTCATACTGTCTGCTACAGCTTCTCCGTTGGGAAGAACTGTGTAAACCACCACCTGAGCGTATGGAGTCAGAGATGCCATCTTCTTCAGTGTGAATGTCAGCTCTCCTTTGTTTTCTTTTATGAAAGAGAGAGAGCATTTGTGGAAACAAAAAGGTGCATACTGAAGCACAATGTACGCAGACCGTAAAAATACACATAGACAATAAGACAACAAAGTGATTGCTAATGTAAAAGAGCTGTGTACCTTTCTCAGCGTTCACTCTCACAGACAGACGACCATTTTGAGCCATGCTGCCTCTGGACAAGACCTGGAGTGCAGAGAGATGATTACTGTGTGACAATTTATGTAGTGCATAAACAGCTTCAGTAGCATTGAGCATTGTGATTTTTTTTCATAATCTTTTCTCCTTTGTGATAATGGCCACAGATATTAAAATTATGTCCAGTCCTGCTAATTATTTTCATATTATGGCAGCAATAAACTGATATTTATATTGAGATTTGCTAAAAATGACATTTAACAGAATTATTACATTTGTAGTGTTTTTAAAATTAGGCATTAATATAAATGTAACAACTGGGAAAATGAGCACAATATAATAATACATAATATAAGCTTCCAATATAAACCTGCACTCTAAAAAAATGCTGGGTTAAATAGGGACAAACCCAGCAAATGGGTTGTTTTGACCCAGCGGTTGGGTTACTACCCAGAAGGTTGGGTTAAACATTCAATCCAACCGCAGGGTCAAAACAGCCCAATTGCTGGGTTTGTCCCTATTTTACCCAGCACTGGGTTGTATTTAACCCAGCATTTTTTAGAGTGTACATAGATAATCAAATAAATCTGTAATACTGGCTTACAACCAATATGGTGCTGGTATATCATGCTTCCTTAAAAAAAAAAAAAAATGACCAAGCAATTGATGGACAAACCACAACAACAACAAAAAAGAGTGTCAGTGTTAAACGTACAATGTAGAAGAAATCCAAGGTTTTCTGGCCTGTTTTCAGTGCATTGCCCTGAATGATGTAACTGGCCGTCACTGTTGCATCACTGTTACAGCTGAGCTTCCCTGGAGCCTTCGTCAACATCAGGAAGCTTTTACTTTTGGAGTGAAAGGGTCTTACGTAGATATAGCTTGATGGGTAATTCTGAGAATCAGTCTGTTCTCCTTTATAACGGACCTAATTAAAACAAGTTTGAAAATCTATACCCGAATTATATACATAAACATCATGTTAGAAAACAAAAACATGTAAGAGTATACCTGTAATTGCACAGGTTGTTCTGACCAATCCAGAGTGTTGAAGGAGAAGTGGGCAGTACCATTGATGTCTGTCGTCAGGGCCACATTGTCACTTTTATTACCATAATTTGCATATACAACCACTGGCTCATTTTTCATTGGTTTGGAAAATGAATCAGTGACCACACACTGTAAAAAAAAAAAATAAAAAAAAAGTTCACAAACACTTCCTGTACACAACATGGCTATGCTAACTGCTAAATGCTTTCACTGCTAAACAGGTTTATTTATTAATGTTGCATTTTACAAAGTCAGACAAAAATAGCAGTTATGGTACAGTTATGAACTTTTTATGAAGATGGTTATAAAAGCACACGTGGACTGTAGAGTTACATTTGGAGCATTCGTTCAATAATTAGTAGCAAAACTTATGACATCAAGCTAGCTGTTACCTTTCCCTTAAAGAGCATGCCAGGCCTGTATGAATCTGGTGTGTCCTCAAAGTTAACATAGATATAACCCCCGGTAAACGTAGCTGAGGTAGAAACCTGCGTAGTTATCCCTGGAGTAACAAAAGACCATCTTTCATTACTCTATTTTGGAGAATACAAATGGACAACAGCCGTTTGTTTTATACTCTCACCTGTTCCAGTCTCTTCCACAACACAATTCACTGTAAAATACCCACTGGAACTAATGCCAAATTCTGTCACATCTATCACTCGAGACCCACAGCCAGTCTTGTCAGTCTGAATGAATAAGAATGAAAAGAAAACGGTTATTTAGACTTCTAAAATACAGTATGTTGCAGTATGGACCCTTGTGAAAAAGTACACTTCAACATACATGTAATGTTAAAGAAGTACTTATAACAGAAATATATACACTACCAGTCAAAAGTTTTTGAACAGCATGCTTTTTAAAGTCTCTTATGTTCACCAAGGCTGCATTTATTTGATCCAAAATACAGCAAAAGCAGTAATATTGTGAAATATGTTTACTATTTAAAATAACTGCTTTATATTTGATTATATTTTAAAATGTAATTTATTCCTGTGATTTCAAAGCTGAATTTTTGAATCATTACTCCAGTCACATGATCCTTCAGAAATCATTTCCCTTGGAGTCAGTAAAATAAATGTATACTGACTCCAAGCTTTTGAATGGTATAGCTTATAAAGTTACAAAAGCATTTTATTTCAGATAAATCTTTGGATCTTTCTATTCATCAAAGAATCTTGAAAATAAATGTACTCAGCTGTTTTAAATACTGATAATGATAATAATTAAAAAAATAATTATTCTGTTTCTTGAACAGAAAATCAGCATATTAGAATGATTTCTGAAGGATCATGTGAAGACTGGAGTAATGATGCTGAAAATTTAGCTTTGATCAAGGAACAAATTACATTTTAAAATATATTCAAATAGAAAGCTGTTATTATAAATAGTAAAATTATTTATAATATATCAAATAAAATAATTTGCCGTATTTTGGATCAAATAAATGCAGGCTCGGTGAGCAGAATATACGTTTTTAAAAAACATAAAAAAATCCTACTGTTCAAAAACTTTTGACTGGTAGTGTAAGTGTACTTTATATAACCCTAATTCCAAAAAGTTGGGACGCTGTGTAAAAGTAAATAAAAAATAGCATTCTGTTTTTACTTACATTTTACACAGCGTCCCAACTTATTTGGAATTGGAGTTGTAAGAATACACTTAAGTGCTGAATGTAATGTATTCGGACGCTTAATTGCATGTTAATTGCAATTAAATGAAATGATGAATGTTCTATAGTTTCAGTTTTTTTTTTTTTATATATATTAAAAAAGTGTTTTTACCCACTAAGTAAGACTGAAGTACATTGTTATATGTAATTTCTTAATTACTTCTGTTGTCTTTGAAATATGGTTAAAGACTTTACTTTAACATTTTAACTTGAAGAGTACTGCCAAAAGCCCCGACAAGCATTATGGAAGTTGCCTAAATGCGATTTGAATAAGGGTCCTAAACAACAGTGGCACATAATGAGTACCCCTAAAATATACACACATTAAGTGCTATATTGAATACTACAATACAGTGATATCAGATCATTGTTATTTCTTGTAATTGGGACCCTATGATATTTAAAGATGCTTATTAGTACAGTGTTTTTAGGATTACAAGCCCAAAAGGTAACAGTTTTGTGTGTGCAAAAGGGTAACGCACCATCATTGAATATTTCTTGCATATTTTTAACAAGTCAGGATCAGAACCAGGTCTCCTCGCATAGATATCATAGCTGTGGCCACACACTTCAGCATTCACAGACCCCTGCACAGGCTTGCCATAAGTGTATCTAAAGACAATGAAAAAAAGTATTTCATCAGGCTGAACATGGTACTGTAACACAGGTATGCATCTCATTTATCTGCAAAGAAATGAACATTATTTGTAAAAAAAAAAAAAAAAATCGTACTTTGCACAAACTTTCAGAGTGACCTTTTTGTCCTTGGACGTTATAACGGATGGAAAATCGATGTTCACTTCATATTTTGGCAGAACTAAAAGAGATATGTGGGGAAAATACTTTCAAAAATTGTAGCTGATCAATATTGGACTGACAAAAGTTAAATCCTGGTTCTGACCATATTCTTTGATTTCAAAGGAGTGTTTGGATATTTGTTGGTTCTTATCATCCCAAGCAGTGATCGTGTAGAAACCCTGAGCAGCTTCTGGAGACATGGAGTGGGACAGATCCAAAATGCCAATCCTTGTGGCCTGATTCAACCACTGACCAATGCGATTTGAATAAGGGTCCTAAACAAGAGTGGCACATAATGAAAAAGCCTAAAGTGAAATCAACCTGCATTTAAGTAAAGTAACAAACAATGAACAGATCATGGCTTCTTCAAGGATTTTACCTGGAGTTCTACAGTTCGAAACTGCAAGAGTAAGACAGAAGAAAATGAGTTGAGTTAGATCAAAAGAATATAAATATATTTTGCCAGCACTTCAACTGAAAAAAAATAAAAGAAAGAATTTTCACGTAAATTAAATTAAATTTACCACTTGATTGTGAGGCAAGAGACCAGAATCCAGAGACACAATGCGAAATTTAACTGGGGAAGAAAAAAATTGAGACACAATATTAACACATACAGTATGCAATGCGGAAAGACTCGCAGGCTCACATTAATAAGAACAAACGAGCACTGACAACTTTAACTGTTTTGGAAGAATTTACAAAGACATTACTTGTTTGTCCAGGCTTATAGATAGGCTTGTCTGATTGGATGAAAAGAAGATTTTGGGGGGGTTTTATGAGGATCTGAGTGGTTTTCTTCAGGGATGTTTCGGCCCCTTGGATTGCAACATTGACGGATGCCACAGACTCTACAGTGACTACAGGGACCTGAAAAATACAAATCAAGAAAATATTGAGCGTATAACTCCACTTACAGACTGCAGACTATAGGTTTGAAAGCAACATCAAGACTACAGTGTGATCGCTGAACAATTTAGTAGTGGAAAATATATGCAAGATGAATGATAAATGTAAGTTTTAGGGTTTTACTTGCAAATTAATATGTCTTATTATGGAAAGGCCCTTTAACCTTAATGTCACGTTATACATTTTTTGATGTATAGGAAAGAGCTATGAGACAGTATATTGAGTACACTGACCTTAAAAGGAACACATTTGTAGAAATCATTTTTAATGAAGCCCTGTTGTAGAATGGTCAGATCGAGATTGTTAGTGCTCAAAGTCACCACTATAGAAAGTGTCTCTTTGGGCTCATGGATATGCGCACAGAGAGTCTCTGTGCTGCCACCCACCGCCTGAGATGTGACTGTCACCAGGTATATGCTGAAAGAAGACAAAACACATTCAGAGACTTGCATAAACCATCCAATGACAATAAAATGGTTTTAAAAGCATAAGTTTAGTGTTGCATGAGCCTAGGGTTGTTTTGGGTTAATACACAGTTGAGAAAGTGACTTGTAATTTTTATGAATGTGTCTGGAATCTTCACTGGGTGTCTTTATGGATGAGTGCACAAAAAAAAAAAGGAAGTTGCCTAACTTTGGTGCAGTATAAATGTGGCACGATTATAAATTACCTTAGAATTAAAATATTAAAATATTAAATATATATAGCGTTATGTTGCAATACACTTTAAATAAATATAATAATCACATTTATATTTTACTTTTTGACTACCAGTTAAAAGTTTAGAATAATAATGAGTTTTTATGTTTTTGAAAAAAGCCTCAAAGTTACCAAGGCTGCACTTATTTGATCAAAAATATAGTAAAAACAGTAATATTATGAAATAGTATTATAATTTAAAATAACTATTTCTTTTTAAAAATTTAATTTATTATTTTGATGGCAAAGGTGAATTTTCAGAAGCTATTGCTGCAGTCTTCAGTGTCACATGATCCTTCACAAATTAATTATTAATTATTAAAAATATTTATTAATAAATAATTATTAATTATTAAAAATAGTTCTTAGTATCAAAGTTCAAAACAGATTTTGCTAATTAATATATTTGTGCTAATTAATAAAAAACATGATGCTTTTTTCAGGATTATTAAATGAGCAGAAAGTTCAAAAGAGCAGCATTTAATGGAAATAGAAATCTTCCAACATAATAAATTACACTTTTGATAAACTTAATTTGTCCTTGCTGAATAGAAGTATTATTGTTTAATCCTGCTGAAAATTCAATTTGCCATCAAAATAATAAATTAAAATATATTCAAATAGAAAACAGATCTATTAAGTTGAAATAATATTTCACAATATTAGAGTTTTTTTCTGAATTTTTGATGCAGTCTTGGTGAGCAAACTAATAAAGGTAAAGTTTTATCATTTATTGGGCATTCCCAGAATTCCCTGCACATACCGTGACATTTGATTCTATTTTGTATTTTTAGTTATTAGTTTAGCATTAATTAGTGCTATGTGTGATACTGATGCTGTTTTGTGTTTGTATGCAGGGGTAGACTGGGGCTAAAATGTGGCCCTGGACTTTCTGGCACAGAGCAGCCCACCACACCATAAACCCACCAGCTCGAGCAATTTTTAACACCACTTACTAACATAAAAATATAACACAATACAGAAATAATAATGCCATCCTTTTTTCCTTTTTCTTTTAAATGAAATTCTTATCATTAACATCAATGAATGACTGACGTATTTCTTTACATTACAATTTGTCTTTCCTGCTTTATATAACAAATAGTAAATAATTTAGAAGAATTTTTACACATCTCTTAGATGGATAGTTTAATATATCACTAAAGTTAAATGCCTACCATAATATCAGTCCATATGACACGATGCTTTGCTCTGCTCTAGAAGACTTGGAATGTAGTGCAGAATGTGGACTGTTTTATGGTGCCTTTCTTTCTATTGGTCAGAAATCATTCTAATATGCCGAAACATTTCTGATTATTATCAATGTTGAAAATAGTTGTGCTGCTTCATATTTTTTATGGAAAATGTGGTACATTACCATTCAGTCTAGGGTAAGATTGAAAAAAATATATAAATTAATTAATTATTTGTTTAATTATTTAATTA